GGCCGTACCGGAGGGGAGCGGTTTGCGGCTGGATGAAGGGCACTGGCCTTGCAGGGGTGTAACCACCCACAACATAAACGCCCCTCCCTGCACACGCCCCTCCGCCGGCCCCCTTCTTTCGCGGAGGAGACTCGCTTTAAAAAAAAAATTAGGAACAAGAAGGAGTGAGAGGGGAGAGACGATTAAATGGAAAAAAGTTTCCGACGAGGGAGCAGAGGTTTTCATGTTGTTCGCGGGTGAGGGCGTTCGGGGTTATAAATATTTTACCTGTTAACCACATTATCACATTCGTTACTTTTTCGTGGACTTTTTTTCGCCCCCTCATTGTATTCTCTTTCATGTTGAAAGTTGTTTTGTTGGTGTTGCTACTCTCGTCCAAAGTTTAAATAACTCTGCCCCTCTCTTCTCCCTCTCCTCTCGCTCTATCTCCCGCCCATCGGGGCGGCGCTCTGAAGCGCTGACTTGCGGCCGCTATTGTGACGGCCACGCCATCACCTGGCGCGGTGCTGCGCGGTGCAGTGCGACGCCAGGAATGCCTTGGGAGCGGGTGTCAATGCTCTCTCCGGCTCCTCGGTCGCGCGCCCCGCCACGCCCCGCCACGCCCCGCCACGCCCCGCGGTGCACCGACTGCACTGCAATCGATATGTCGTCTCTGCCACGCCACGCCCCCCGGGGGGCCGGCTGGCCGGGCGGGGAAGCCCTCGGGGACCCCCGCGGCCGCCCCACGGGCCGCCCCCGCAGGCGAGCCGGCGCCACGCGTCGCGCCGCGCGCACGGAGTATACGCTGCCGGGCCGGTACGCCGCCGCCGCAGGCCGCCGTCTGCATTATTGCACACGTTATTTCTGTGTTTTATTCATCATCGAGCCGAGTGGGGGGCGGACCGCCGAGCGTCGCGTCGCGATGTTGCTCCTGATCGTGGTGCGGCACGCTCGCGCCGCGGGGCCGAGTTAAAGCAAATGACGTAACGATAAGGGAGTGAGAGAGTGAGAGAAAGAGAGTAAAAAATAAAATCACACAACGATGTGGGAAAAAAATCTAACGTAGCGGAGTGAAAAAAGAAATGGTGAGAAATGGATTGAGTCCTTATCGCGCCTGCTGATTTCATAATGGGCAGCTAGTCGCGCGGCTAGTCGCGAGCAAAAGTTTGCATTCTGCCGCCTCTTGGTGGTTGGTATCTGATGCTAGCGCGTGCTGTCGCGTCCGCAGTATGCAGTCCATTTGAGATTGAAGGTTGAAGAAAAAAAAAAAAAAAA